TTTTTGGATAAATACCTAAGAGTGGGATTGCTGGGTCGTAAGGTAGTTCCATTTTCAGATTTTTGAGGTGCCTCCATACTGATTTCCATAATGGCTGCACCAGCCTGCAGGGGGACAAACTGACTTTTGTCTCCTGATGTAACATACACAGACGAACACAGCATTATCCTTATACTCTTCTTGCTAGAAATGTTTAGCCTGAATCTAATCATGAGGAAACAGTCAGACAAAGCCAGACTATGGGTCATTCTACAGAACAGTCATCAAATTTTCAGTATCATAAAAGACACAAAAAGGGCTACTGTTCTGGAATAAAGGAGATTAGAAAGCTATAACAACTAAATGCAAGTTATGATCCTTGTTTATATCCACCCTCAGGTTATAAAAAAATGACATTATTGGAATATGAATATGGATTGTGTAACAGGTAATATCAGTGTTACATTCTTGAGTATGAAGAGGATATTGTGGATATGTAGGATAAAGTTTTTGTTCTTAGGAGAAACATGGCAAAGTGTCGTGATATCTGCCTGCCCCTTACTTTCATAGATAAAAGGGGAGAAGTGCTTGTGCAGAGAGAGAGAATAAGAGAGGAAGCAAATGGGGCAATATGTTACCCGAAACAAAAACAAAACATTCACGCTTAATGAAGACAATTTGCCAGGCATCTTCCTTATGTAATGCCTGTTTGTTGTTGTTTTCTTATTTTTTTCCTGACTATAAAAGTAATAGTTGCTCATTGCAGATTATTTGGAAAATACAAAAGTATAAATATCATCCCTAATTCTGCCTATAGATAGTACTTAATGTTGAATTAAATTGTGGTCAGATGTTATATATAATCTTCTATCTTCAACTTTTGCTAATATGTTGTATTTTCCACATAACTGCATTACTATCTTGGGAAACATGATTTTTAAGAGCTTCATAATTTTCCTTCATATATTCAACTTATTGAATATTTGGATTGTTTCCAATTTTTCATTCATTTATTATTTCTGTAATGAGCATTCATGTTCTTAAATTATTGTCTGCCTTTTTTATTTCCTGACGATATACTCCAACCAGAGTGCGCAGGATGTTATTATTGTTTATTTGGCAACATAACATAAGCCAGTATTATGATAGTATTTCTTTTGTAATGCATACATGTTTATTACCTAGAATTATGATGATAATTTCAATGAAAATGGAACTGGAGAAGGAGTAAAGGTTCAACCAGAAGATACCAACTTAAATCATGACAGTGCCAAAGAATTGGAAGCTAGTCCCCAAGAAAATGTCAGTGTCACACAGACTGCGGAACTGTGTGATGACCCAAAAAGTGAAGCTAAAAGGTAAGGCAGACGTGCACGTTTCTACTGACTTAGTTTTGGTTGTAAGGATATCTTTTTATTTGTCAAATAGACTTTCCTTTCCCATGATTGATGGGGTAAATTAGATGTATCTGTGCCTTATGTGTATAACCAGACATATGTACATATGTATACAGATGAAGCGTGTTGGAAAGAATGCTAGAGGAATGTGCTCATGACATTTCAACAACATGGCCAAAATCAGAAACAACTTACTTTGATCCAGCTTTTGTTTTCCTTATCCTGCCGAGTGAGGTTCTTGTTTTCTCCTGGATCAGCAATCCTTGACATTCATGAGAACAAGGCTACTCTCCACTCGCTTGGAATGTGACTAACCAAATCTCCATGCTCGTGATGTTCATTGTGTGTTCAGCCCCACTGAGGTCACGAGGATATATAAGTTTTATCACGAGGATAAAAGCCCCAGAGCTTGGGGCTTTTCGGCTCAAAGCAGCCCTGGAATCCTGGTGCTACACCAGGCCACTGTGGTTGGTCAGGGGAAGGTCTGGGTCACAGGAGGTAGCATTCTTTTTCCTCTCCTGTGTGACATTTTTGTCTTATCCTCCTCTGTTCCTCTATAGCAGAATAATTTCTTACTCCTTGAGGAAAAAGCTGAAGAGTAAGTAGCCTCAGGTTCTTGTCATAGGACCAGGTAAAACAGTTCGAATGACAGTAAAGTGGGAGCTTAACTGAAAACGCTTAACACAGGAGCAGCAGTGAAGGGGCAGTGGAGTATACTTAGGAGTTAAGGACTTTAGGTGGCATAAACCAGGGGAACACGTTTCAGGGCCCAGCGTAGGGCTGTGGCTGTACCAACTGGTAATGCAGGAACTTGGGTGAGCTGAAACCTGGAAGAGTTTTACAAATGAGAAAACTGAGTCTCAGATTAAGTGACTTGCCTGAGAACAAAAGCTGGTAAGTGAAAAAGCTGGCATTTAATCCCTGTCTGCCTGACTCCTTGAATGCACCCAAATCAGCGAGCTCCGTGGGACCTAAGTGACCTGTACAGGTCCTTTGGGAGCTGCTTTGTGGGCGTGAGGGGTGGACCAAAGGATGGGGCTCCAGAACCCCGACCGATCATCTCCTTCATCTAGAGCTAAAACTTTTTCATTTGTTTTCCGTATTATTTCAACATGGGAATTCATTTGGGGAGAAAAAGGGTTCTCATTGCTAAAAGAAGACTGAATTGAAATGATTTCTTCACTGCTGAGGAAGTGGCAGGGCTCGGATAGAGATGCATGCGTGCGCACGCACACACGCACACCTCATCCCCCACCCCCTCTTCTGTGGGGCCCCTCTGCTGCTGCTCTGCAGTGCACTGACGCTACCCACCTAGTGAGAAGTTCTTCATTAGAAAATGTGTGTATCTAGAGTACTTTTTAAAAATAAAGCTCTTAAATATTAACTTCAGAGATGTAGCTGCTGTCTTTCATAACATAAACTGTTCTCCAGGAATATTACCCTAAATTTTCTTGGATGTATTTGCGGCATATCAGTGATGATATTATGTAAATTAGTAAATGTTAATCTGTAGCCTTTTATGCCGTTGTGTCCTTCTCTTGATGCTTTCAGAGCTATCTGAACACTACATAATGTTGTGTTCACACTCCTAATCAGCACCTTTTAAATGCACAGGCATACCTCACAGATACTGCGGGTTCTGTTCAGACCACCGCAATAAAGTGAGGCATAACCTTTTTACTGGTGGAGGGTCTTGACTTCAATTTGTAAAAAACTCAACATCTGTGAAGTACAATAAAATGAGGTATGCCTGTATAGGCCATTTAATTTAATACAGACTATTGAAGAATAGTATGGCAGCATTATCATAACTTACTCATTATAACCCATCCTGTTTGTTCTGTAAATATAGCTGCATTCAGATTTTGCCCTAAGAATTTGGTTAGCACAAATGTATGCAATGAGTAAGGAAAATTAAAATGCATGTAGAAGATTGAATAGAGAACTATTCAGGAGTTAAAATAGAATAGGAGGAAACTTACTATACTGGCAGCCACTTTCTGGGTTAAAGGATACGTGGGGCGGTGATACCCACCAGATCAGCAGAAAGGACATAATCTTTTAATAAAAGAAAATTTGTCACGTTAAACAAATTTAGTTTTGTGGAAAGTGCATTACAGTGTGTTTATTTTTCTCATTCCATTGTGGAACTGTTGGAATGTTTGTTATAGACTGGATCAGGTTCAAGAAGTTGGGGTTTGGGGGAGCCCCACTTAATGTGTTTATGAGTACTGCTGCTTGGCTGTGAAGATGGTTTGCTTCAATAAATGGAGTATTAAGTGCTTTGCTTTTTTAACAAAAACACACCGTTTAAAAACTCAGAATTTTAGGGGCCTTATTTTAGTTTATGTTTCAATTTTTTTAAGTAAATCCCTTAATTTTTGTGTCAAATTTGATATATAAAGTGATCTCTAAAGTTGGGTCTTTAAAGCTGTTCATTTGAGCTGTTAAAATTAATTAACTTGGCCATGAAAATTAATGAATTAGCTTTAAAATGAATGTTATTCTTTTGAGTCTTGGGAGCAAAATGACAATTAAAAGGGGTACATTGTTATTAGATTATGCTGAATTCTTTCATTTATTTTCCAGTGTTCCTAAACCCAAAGGAAAGAAAGCCAAAGATATGAAAAAAGCTGTCAAAGTACCCGCCGAACCACAGACAGTGGTAGGTTAAAATCATGCTGACATGTCTTCAGTGGATCTTGTTGTTCAGACAATATAATCTAAATTCTCAATTCTCATTCTAAAGGTGTAAATGTGTTTTTGGTGAACCCTTCTGCACCTGCTGCCTAGGTGTGGCTCCATCAACAGTTTCCCTTGACAATTGTGGTATTTATATATGTGCTACTGTCATTTTCTTCCTAATTGTTTTTTTCAGTTACAGTTGACATTCAATATTCTTTTATATTAATTTCAGATCTGCAGCATAGTGGTTAGACATTTATATAATTTATGCAGTGATTGCCCCGATTGGTCTAATACCCATCTGGCACTTTACATAGTTGTTGCAACATTATTGACTCTAATCTCTGTGCTGTACTTTACATCCCCAATTTGTGCTTCTTATTCCCTCCCCCCTTTTTCACCCAGCTCCCCTCTCCTCTGGCAACCATTAGTTTGTTTTCTGTCTCTATGAGGCTGTTTCTGTTTTGTTTGCTCATTTGTTTTGTCTTTAGATTCCGCATATAAGTGAGATCATATCGTATTTATCCTCAGCCTGACTATTGTTCTTAGTATAATACGTTCTAGGTCTATCCATGTTGTCACATCATTTTTTTTTCTTTAAAAAGTAGCACATTGGAAATATCAGCCCATACCAGAACAGTTACTATTGTTTTCTATTACTTTGAAATCTAAAGCCTTGGTCTAGTCCACATGGTACATGCTACTAAATGTCTCAGTACTCAAAGTCCATGGTGTTGGTTAATGGGACATAACTTCCAAGAACCGCTGCCTCTGTTGAGCCTGTCTTAGTAGCTGTCCATTTTGTTAAAAGATCTTTCTTTTACAATTGTTTGATATTTGATCTCTACATGAAAACATAAAACACTGCTCTCAGATATTAACACTTGGCTTTTATTTGTTTTCTTTTCCCTTCTCAGAATGATGTTATCAGCTGCACAGCCTGCCATACTGAATTTCCATCCCGAAATAAACTTTTTGACCATCTAAAGACCACAGGTCATGCAAGAGCACCTTCATCGTCTTCTTTAAACAGTGTAACAAGTAGTCGGAGCAAGAAAGAGAAACGTAAAAACAGATAGACATTCTGCCAGTGCTTTTTCTTTTTGATTGTCTCTAGATTTTGAAACCAAAAACTGAACTGAAATCATCTAAAGAGTTAAAATTTCAGTGATCTGCAATTTATTGCATTGTGGGAGATTACTTTTTATCTTGTAAAAACATTTTTTTCATTTAATATATATTTTTAAACATTTCATTAGTGACTGTATTCTACTTTTGCCATCTGAATTGACTTGAATATCTCAAAACAGGTAAATAATGTAAAGTATGCATTCTTGATTTCTGTTGGATCATGTGGACAGAAATGTACAGGGAGAATTAAATTATTTTAACACATAGAAATGCCCCTTTCTGTTTTATTTTGTGAATTTCACTTTAAGTATTTTTATACGAGTCACTGCTTTTTGTATCTTGTATTTTGTTAGGCTTCCTGATCTGTCAAAGATTCCAGATGGTTTTAAAATTATCATAGATTTTTTTCTACATGATACCATGACTCCAGTTCTAATTTTAAGATTATTTCTAAATAACTTATTGTTGATCACTGTATTTTATTTCCCCAAGGACAATGATAGGTACAAACTAATTGAACATACTTATATATGGTTGTATTTTAAGAATAATATCTCTTCAAAGTATAATTATGTTGATTTAATTTGAGATTTTACTGGTAATTATCAACAAGATATATCTTTTGGTTTTCCACTGATTTGAATTATGGAGGTGGAAGCAAATTAATTTATATAGCGCTTCTTCCTTAGGCACAGTGACAGCTGTAACACATGACGGATCAAGGTAGCAGATGGTTTAGAATTTATACTGTTTAACACGGGAGATTCTGCCTTGGGTTTTTTTTCTTCACTATTTTCAGAAATTTTTTATTTTGTTTTTTACATCATTCAATGGAGAAAAATCTTTTTGATGAGAGATTTTTTAATAGGGCTGATATTTATGCCACCTATTCTGTACCAAAGATGAATATTAAATCAAAAGAAATATGGAGAATTCTTATAAGTGAGTGTGGTCATCAAGTATATGTTCAGTGATGAGTCAATTTTTATGGAGGATTAAGTAAGCAATTTTTTTTTTCTGGTGTACAAAGCAGCATAATAGTTAGACATTTAAACCCTTCATAAAGTGATAACCCACGCCACAAGCTACTACTATTCTGACGTCTTATATAGCTGTTACAATACCACTATCTTCCCTATGTTGTACTCTACATCCCGTGACTATATATACATATATATTTAGTTATAGTTGACATTAAATATTATTCTATTTCACTTTAGGTGTGTAGTGCATTGGTCAGGCATCAACACAGTATATGATATAATCCATCTGATAAGTCCAGTGCCCATTTGGCACCTTACATGATCTTTGCAACATTGTTGATTATATTCTCCATACTATATTAACTACCAATTTGTATTTTTTCATACTTTCGCCTTTTTCACCCTGCCCCTAATCCCATTCCCATCTATCACCCTGATAGATCTAGTACCTATCTGGCACCATACCTAGTTATGACAATATTATTGACTGTATTCCTTATGCTTTACCCTACATTCCTATGACTACTGTGTAACAGCCAATTTGTACTTCCTAATCCCTTGCCCTTTCATCCATCCTTAACCCCCCTCCCATTTTAAAGAAATCCCTCTAAGATTCCTTGTAACACTGGTTTGGTGGTGATGAACTCCTTCAGCTTTTTCTTGTCTGGGAAGCTCCTTATCTGTCCTTCAATTCTAAATGACAGCCGTGCTGGGTAGAGCGATCTTGGTTGTATGTCATTGCTTTTCATCACTTGGAATATTTCCTGCCACTCGCTTCTTGCCTGCGAAGTTTCTGTTCAGAAATCAGCTGCCAGTCTTATGGGGGCTCCCTTGTGGATAACTAAGTGCTTTTCTCTTGCTGCTTTTAAGATTCTCTCTCTGTCTTTAACCTTTGGCATTTTAATTATGATGTGTCTTGGTGTTGGTCTCTTTGGGTTCATCTTGTTTGGGACTCTGCACCTCCTAGGCTTGTATGTCTATTTCCTTCACTAAGTTAGCGAAATTTTCTGTCATTATTTCTTCAAATAGGTTTTCAATTCCTCGCTCTCTCTCTTCTCCTTCTGGTACCCCTATAATGCCAATGTTGCTATTCTTGATATTGTCCCGGAGGCCCATTAAACTACCCTAAATTTTTTGGATTCTTTTTTCTGTTATGGTTGGGTGTTTTCTGCTAACTTATCTTAGTCTACATCACTGGTTGGATCCTGTGCTTCATCTAATCTACTGTTGATTCCCTGTAATATAGCTTCATTTCCATTATTGTATCCTTTATTTCTGACTGGTTCTTTTTCATGGTTTCTATCTTCATTTTTTGCTTCCTATCTCTGTGTTGAAGTTCTCCCTGAGATCACTGAGCATTCTTATAACCAGTGTTTGCAACTCTGCGTCTTGATAGATTGCTTATCCCTGTTTTGCCTAGTTCTCTTTCTGGAGCTTTGTTCTGTTCTTTTATTTGGGACACGTTTCTTTGTCTCCCTATTTTGGCTGCCTTTCTGTGTTTGTTTCTGTGTATTAGGTAAGGCTGCTATGTCTTCCAGTCTTAGTAGAGTGGCCTTATGTAGTAGGTGTGCTGTGGGGTTCGGTGGCACAATCTTTCTGGTCACCTGAGCCAGTTATTCCAGGAGTGTCCCCTGTGTGGGTTGTGTGAGCCCTCCTTTTGTAGTTGAGCCTTGGTTGATAATTGCACATCAATGGAAGGTACTGACCCTTGGGCTCACTGGTTGTGAGGACTGGCCTTGACTACAGTGGAAGAGTTGTTGTGCAGGGGCTGACCCTACAGAGCAGTATCTGCCTCAGCAGGACTCTGGTGTCTGCCCAATCCGCCCCTTGGGTGTGTCGTACTTGGAGGTGGATGGGTAATGCTCCAGCTTGTTTAGAAATGGCCATTGGGGGTGTCATTCCCAGGATCATTTAGGAGGGGATCTGCTGTAGGTCAAGACCAGCTACAGCCCATGCCTCAGCAGGAGCCACAAAGAAATCCACAGATGGCTGCCTCCCATGCTGTGCTTGGAAGCACCTTGAGAGGCCAAGCCATGAACCAAGGCCGGCTGCCACTAGTGCCAGCTTAGGGCTGCTCAGCCAGAGGTACAGGACATGCTCAAGCCAGATGCTGCTTTTCTGGGTTCTGCGAACCTTTAAGGGACCCTAGGAAAGTGCAGCTTGAGCCAAAGCAAGCGGTCTGCACAAAAAAGCCACAGGAAGGGGCCTGGGTGTTTTAGAAAGTTGGGCGGGTCCGCGTCTTAAATCACCAGGGCGTGGTGAAGGAACAGTGGAGACTCAGATATGGCAGCCGCCTGTGTCCACAGGGGGACGGGGGAGGGCTCAGCAAAGAAACAATGGTCTCCAGCAGCTCCTCCATCCAGGAGAAAGCCGCTGCTCCAGACCCCATCCCAGCTAAACAACTCAGTTCCCCACCATTTGTCCCTGCCGCCCCTCCCGCTGCTGCCCCAGCACTGGAGCTCAGAGCAAGTGATGTTGGTGGTGGGTAAGTCTACGCGTGGTCTCTTGAAGAGGAGCGCCTGTGAGTGCAGCAGCATTCAGTCTCAGTCACAATCTCAGCTGGTTTTCACAACCAAAAATTATGGGGATTTCTTTCCCCGGCACTGGAACCTTGGGCTGGGGTGGGGCTGGGTCTGTCCTCTGGTAGATGGGGGGACCCCCTCAACCGAAATATCCCTCCCAATCTTTAATGGTCACACGTGGGTGTGGGACCAGCCTGTTCTGCGTCTCTGACCTTCCTACCAGTCTGGAGGTGGCTGCTTCTGCAAGTCCTTAGTTGAAAGGCTTCCATTCAGCTTGATTTTAGGCGATTCTCAATACTCGTTTTGTAGATTAGTTGTAATTTTGATGTGGTTGCGAGAGAAGGTAAACACAGCATTTACCTACTGCACCATCTTGGCTGTCTTCCCCAAGTGGCCAATTCTTTTAATTGGTCTTGAAAGTAACTGTGAACTCATTAGCTTGAAATGTGTCTTTACTGAAGTTGTTTCTCTCCTTATAGCCTTGAATCTTCATATGAAGGAATCTTCAGTTAGGCAGAAGCTCTAAAATACAAGAGTCCCTGATGGCAAAGTCGTATCTGAAAGCCTCATGGATAGTATTAATTGTATGGATCATTCTGTGGGATTGACTTGAAAATAGCTTTTGTACCTTAATTTTTAATTATTTTCTTTTTCATTTAGAGATACATGTATTTTCTTTACCTTGTTTCCTTTTTATGTCTTAACTTCTAAGACTAATTCTTCCTAATTGTTTTCTCCACCCTTTCTTGGTCCCTTCAGGGGAAATACTAATCATTTTGTCCATGTTTGGTCTTTTCCTCTCAGGCTTCATCTGAACACTCTCCACCTTCCTCTAATTTCAGTTAGATGAATTGCCCGTAATTATGAATAGGAATATTAATGAACCGGCAGGTGTATTAGTCACATGTTAGTGTACAGTAAGAAAAGCGTGACGTCATCTTGAAAGACAGAGTCCTGCAGATGCCTTTCAGAACTTCCTTGCTTTCTCTTGTCCCAACCATGCAGGTATTTAATTTGTTTCTGCTTCATGTGAAGATTGAGTGGGGTTACTTGTCACTTTTATTCTGACAGACAAAAATCAGCCTTAATTTTTAAGGGATCTTCATCAGTTGTGACTGGAAGTTAGGTCTCACTTCTAATCCTGTACGCGTCATGCTGCTGAATCTTTTTACTTCTCATCTTCATTTCCCTTAACTCTTAATGCAGTTCTTAGCATAATAATACTGTTCCCATTTGTCATACAGGATTATTATGAGGGTCAAATAAAATAGTATATATGAAAGTGCTTTTTAAATACAAAAGCTTTATACAAAGTGTGGTTGAATTTAAGTGAGTCAAACCTTTTTCAGTTAAAATATTTTCAGAAAAAATTAAATGTACATGTTGAATTAAATGTACATTAAGTTTTATAGGAATTTCCTTCCTAATCTACTTCTGAAGAGGAAACAGAAACTTGTCAAGGGTAAAAGACTATTTTTAGTGAATCACAGACATTGAATTTCATTTGTCTGAGGCAAAACAGAACATTCTAAAATACATAAGTACGTTTTACATTGATCTCCTTAAAGGGGAACCCCCACTATTTCTCCATAATTCATTTGTTGGTGCCAAAACGGGGGTTCTTTATAAAGCCAGTGAGACTTTTCCTATTTCAAAATAGGAGCAGTACCATTAGCAAAAGCACAACACTAGAGGAAAACAGGACTGAATCAAAATGAAAACTTCTGTGGAACAGTATTCACCACAAGTAAAGAGACAAGCCTCA